GGGGGGCAGAGGAAGCTGGCGGGGGAATGGTGGGGCCTATGTGGGCTGGATCAACCCACTTAGCAGGCTGGATCTAGCCCGTGGAGGCCCTTTTGCCCATCCCTGGTCTAGCTGGAGGTGTAGCCATGGGCACATTTCCCTGTGAAGCTCCTGAGTATTTTTAGACACCATTAGTCAAATAGTCTCTTGGCTCTGGAGTTTCAGGGGTAGCACAGGAGGCGGCTGAAGGGAATCTCTGTCGGAACGGAGCTGATGATCTGCCCTCTTAGTCAAATAGTCTCTTGGCTCTGGAGCTTCAGGGGTAGCACAGGAGGTGGCTGAAGGGAATCTCTGTTGGAACGGAGCTGATGATCTGCCCTTAGTTTTAGTTCTTTATGCTCTTGAGTAAAAGGGTGGGGATTCAGAACCTGAACCAGCACTACTGTCACTAGGCCTTTGCCATTTGGAAAGCTGGAGGTACAGCAAGTTGTGCCAGGCCTGACCTATGGAGCAAAGGTGCCATTGCTCCAGGGTAGCAGCTTCCTTTAGCTCCCCAGCTAAAGAAAAATGACACAAAAAGGTCAGATCTTCTGCCTGTGTGCATGAGCGTAGCTCTAGTGATGCCAATGGCGCTACACCCATTCACCACTGACTCCACGTGACTTATGTCCACTTACACTAGTTGGAGATCTGGCCCATTGATGCCAGGGGAGCTATGGCTGATTGATGTCAGTTGTGGATCTGGCCCTTTGATGCCAATGGATCTGTGGCTGATTGACACCACTTGGGGATTTGGTCCATTGATGCCTATGGGTCTACATCTGATTGACACCAGCTGGGAATCTGGCCTTCTGTGTTTCAGGTGCCGAACTGGAAACATAAAGGCAGAATATGAGAAGGCTGAGCACTGTTGAAATTGAATTGTGGACTTTTCTCTCATTTCAGGGAAATCTTTATTTGTAGCAAATACCATCAGACAAGCCCAAACCCGACCAGAGAGTGAAGGGCTGAGCCACAAAACCATTAGGCTGACGGAGTCAGAAATAGATTTTGGATTTCTCCTGGAGGAGCTTCGTTCACTGGAACAGAAACCAACGGAGCCAAGGCCCAGGATCTTCCACATTGATGTAACCCCTGTGGTAAGTGTCTTGTCTGAGCTCAGTCTCCATGGCAGGATATACAGAGAGGATGGATTTTCCCGTTTGGAGCGTGACTTCAGTGTCCGGTAGTAGATTGTCAGTTCTGGAAAGTAGTTAGTCCCAGTTTCTGTAACAAAGAGGTAAATTGTGAACAGGGGTGGCACAAAAATGTAATTTTCTTTCCCAAAGCTCTACCACATACCAAATGCTTCCCATCCACTAGTGACAACAGAAGAAGATGATGCTCACAGTATATTTTAATTCTGCATCGCTGGGCAGTGTCTCAGCACCTGATACCCTTTCACCATGCCAGCAAATCTCTTTGGATTTCCATTATCTCTATTGTCTGTGACAGCCCAGCATTTACTGTCACATCAGCAGGGCGACCATACAATGGGTTAAATCCTTGACTGCTGTAAATCAGTGTAGTATGCTTGAAGTCAGTGGAGCTACGCCTGTTTCCCATGAGCTGAGGTTCTGCCTGAGTCGTACTTTCATGGAGCATCTCTTCTTTCTTGTTGATTTATTGGGTCTTCAGTAACTCAGAAAGTTTACTAACAACGGGAGGCAGTGAGTAGTTGACATTTCTATGAAGCAAAACTGACCCAATCCTGCATCTTTCTTGACAGGTCTCGAAAGGTCTTTACAAGTTTCTGGTTGAGTTGTGCATTCTCAGACACATCCAAAGCCCCGATGGCATGGTCTGGAAGTGCCGAGAGTCCCACCTTTATTTGATTGAATACCTGGTGAGAGGAAAAGGCATAAGCAGCACACGAAAACAAGAGGTACTCACCAAGCGATATGCACAATGAATGGCAGGTTTTCTTTGGAACGTAGCAATGTGCGTGTGATAGCAGCATGTTAAAATTCAAAGGAAGAAGGCCTTGATGGAACTACAAATCTTCAACCAGTATGGTACTGTCCAAACATAGAGAAAACACGTTGTTGGTACTAGGGCTACTTGGAAAAGGAAACTTCCAATCTGCTGTTTCAACTTTTCATCCTAACTTTGGAAAGTTCTGAAAAGTTACAATTCTGAAAGAACAGAATGAAAAATGGCCACATTTTTGATCAAAAGAAAGCATTCAGATATGTTAATATGATTTTTTTTTCATTTTAATATTACCACATCAAAACAATTTTTGATGTGTGATTCAAAACGAAAAAAGTTTTTGTTTTTTTAATAGAAAATTGAAAAATGTAATCAAAATCAGCCCTTTCCAGTGGATCATTTCAATGAAACCACGTTTTCTGTTGGGAAATTTTTTCAGTCAAAAAAATTTTGCCAACTCTAGTCAGTATCCAGAGGAGCATTAGGTTGGCCATGTTGTATGTTAAAGTTAAGGAACCTGCTTTGAATCATGTGAAGCTAGTTATATTTATATGCTGCTTCCATTCGTATCTAATAATGTACAAATGACAACAGAAGATACGAACCAGAGTTCCCTCTAAGCTGCACGGCAACACAGAGCCCCACAGCTGATTAATCAGCCTTGCCCAGTCAGAGGCTCAGGGCTCTGTGCATGGAGCTCACTGACTGGGCGGGGCTGATTAATCACCCATGAAGCTCTGCTGCCACACAGCTTAGAGGGAACACTGGTACGGACCAGTGGACGATCAGGCCCCAAGATTGGTACTTAGCTTGTTTAGAGTATCGCTCTTACGCAGAATCGAAGTTTTGGCTGTATCAATGAATGATTTGAGTAACATGATCCTACCTTATCCCAATTTGTTTCTGCTCTACTTACTAAGCCATGTCCCCGTGAATAATATTGGTGTCAATTGGTAGAGGATTTTTTTCAGTTTAGGTAACTTCAGTGTTTATACATCTCTAACCCTTTGTCATTTGGCTTTTAGATGACCAGCGAAATGGAGAAGGGATTTGTAGATCTCCTGCCAGCTGTGAAATGCCTAACACCAATGGAAGTACAAGAGATGCTTAAAAATAACAGTTCTGCAGCTCAATGACATATTCAGGGCTGATGCCTTCCAACGGTCATATCAGTACATCAGTAGATACCAGCAAGGGGGAGATCTGGACAGCTTTTGTTTCACTCCAGGGAGTGTTGAAGGGACAAAGGAAGAGTGTTTGAGGCTCTTGTTAGATTCCTGTGGGAGAAAAAACCCTTCCTGGACTGAGCTCAGCAACTTCACACGCTTCCTAAACCTCCAGCTGATGAAGTGTGAAAACTCAGTGTTCTGCAGCAAAGACTTATTGGAAGAGGGATTTAAAGGTTTTAAAAAGTTTGTGATAAAATTTATGATCACCATGTCCAAGGACTTTGCTTTGCCTTCCCTGGTCATGGCAGATGAAAGCTCACCCAGTGAAGATGACAAAATGGAGGAGGATAGTGTATTGAGAGGGTACCAGTTACGACGCAAGTGGGAGCAAGAGTCTCACCCCTATATCATCTTCCATGCTGACAACCATTCCATGGAGTTCTTGGGTTTCCACATCAATCAGAGTTTTGATGCTGTGGATGCACATTCTCAGGCTGTGCTAGAAGAGAAGGTTATTGACCAGAGTTTTGATGCTGTGGATGCACATTCTCAGGCTGTGCTAGAAAAGAAGGTTATTGACCGAGGTTTAAAGCAGATCCTTGAGGCTCAGGGAGTCCCTTTCAATAAGAAGTTTGAAGATCTGTCCAGACAAAAGCAGCTAGAAACACTCCACAACGTGTTTGGTGTGAGAAGCTCCCAAGGCCCAGATGAAACCTACCAAGACCCAGATGAAACTTACCAATTGACCCTGGACAACACCATGAAAATGCTGGCCATTCATCTCAGGTTCCAGTGTGGGATCCCTGTGATCGTCATGGGTGAAACGGGCTGTGGGAAGACCAAGTTGGTGCAGTTCATGTGCAGCTTGCAAAGAGCAGGGAGGGAAGTTGAGAATATGAGGCTGGTGCGTGTTCATGGGGGCACCAGCTCCAAAATCATCCACCAGAAAGTCAAGGAAGCCATCGAGCTGGCACGCATCAATGAAGAGAAGCACAACATGGACACAGTGCTCTTCTTTGACGAAGCCAACACCACCGAAGCTGTGTTTGCAATTAAAGAGGTGTTGTGTGACCAGAGTGTGAATGGAGAGCCAATCTCCACCACTCGCTTGAAAGTTGTGGCTGCTTGTAACCCTTACAAAAGACACACCAAGGAAACCATTGAGAAGCTAGAGAAAGCCGGCTTAGGATACAGAGTTCGGAGTGAAGACACCTTAGAAAAGTTGGGCTACATCCCTTTGAGGCAGCTGGTGTATCGGGTGCAGCCTCTTCCACCGAGCATGTTGCCTCTTGTGTGGGACTTTGGGGAACTAAACGAAAAGACACAGAGTCTGTACATCAGACAGATTGTGAAATCCATCGTGAAAGACATTCTTCCCGAAGAGAACATGGATATTTTCACCTCCGTCATTTCCACCTCCCAGAAGTTTTTAAGAGAAAAGAAAGAGGAATGCAGAATCGCCAGTCTCCGGGACATAGAGCGCTGCATGGGGGTGCTGCTGTGGTTTTATAAGTTACGAGATCTGCTTTTTCCTCTTATCGATGAAAAGAAGAGAAAGGCTCAATGTTCCGAGGACTGTGACCCATCCATTCATGCCCTTGCCAGGGGGTTTGAGAAAGATCAGTTATTTGCATTAAACGAAGCCCAAAGATCCCTGGTTCTTGCAGTTGGAGTTTGCTATTATGTATCTCTCGAGAAGCACCAAGATTATCTGAAAGAGGTAGCGACATGCTTCTCTGTGCCTGAATCCCTGCTTCAGCTAGAGATTGTACTTTGCCAAGAGGTGTTCCTGGATAACCTCTCTGTCCCCAAGACCACAGCACGGAACGATGCCCTAAGGGAAAACATCTTCACGATGGTCATATGCATGGAGGAAGCCAGGAAGCTCCAAATCCCTGTCCAAAACCATAGCTGCTGATGCAATGCAGGGCAGATTGTCCAAAACAGACTTGTTCAAGCGGTGCAAGCAAGTCCAGCTGGTGTCATTCCAGTGCAGCCCTCACTCCAAGCCGGAAGGAATCATCTCCACTTTCAAACAATGTGCACAGTTCCAGAGGGATCAGAAACTGGAGGAGTTTGCCTCAGTGGTCATCCTGGATGAGATAGGCCTTGCAGAAGATTCACCGGAGATGCCTCTGAAGACACTGCACCCTCTCCTTGAAGATGGTTGCGTTGATGATGAAAAACCAGAACCGTACAAAAAAGTGGGCTTTGTTGGCATTTCGAACTGGGCCCTGGACCCTGCTAAAATGAACCGAGGCCTCCTCGTGTTCCGTACTGACCTCAACAAAGAAGAGCTGGTGAAGACGGCCAAAGGGATCTGTGCCGATGAACGGCACATGACCAAGATTGAGCATTTGTTCCCCTTTCTGGCTGAGTTCTATTGTGAGGTATTGAATAAACAACCCATGGAATTTTTTGGGCTGCGTGACTTTTATGGCCTCATCAAAATGATACTGTCCTACGCCAAGGACAGGAAAAGCATCTCCCAAGAAGAAAAACTTGTTGCAAAAGCAATTCTGAGAAACTTTGGAGGATCAAAAGATCTGAATCCTTTAGAGGTATTCAAACAGTACTCACCCATATCTCTGCCTCCCTACTTGGAAACCAGCCATACTGTTAATTTGTTAAAGGAAAATTTAGACAAGAAACAGACAGGGTTTGTATCTAGATACTTGTTGCTATTAACAACAAACCATGCAGCTTTCCAGATTCTACAGATGAACAAGCTGATGGACATAGAGAACTGTGACATTATCTTTGGCTCGGGTTTCCCACGGGATGAAGAATATTCCCAGGTATGCCGGTCCGTTAACAGAGTGAAAATCTGCATGGAGACAGGGAGGTCTGTCATTCTCTTAAATGTTCACAACCTGTACGAGAGCCTTTACGATGCGCTGAACCAATGCTTCGTCAAGTTAGGTGGAAGCTATTACGTCGACCTTGGCCTGGGGACTCACAGGGTGAAATGCCGTGTGAAGGAGGAGTTTAGATTGATAGTGATTGAGGAGAAGAATGTGGTTTACACGCAATTCCCCACCCCGCTGTTGAACAGGCTGGAGAAGCACTGCTTGGATATGAACACCATCCTACACTGGGAGCAGAATGAGCTGAGGAAGGAACTAGACGAATGGGCCAGGATGTTTGTCACTATCGAGAACACGGATTTCTGCTGCACAAGGCTGGCAGACATGGCTCCCCGGGAACGGGATGTTTTCATTGGTTTCAGTGATGACACTTCTGCCACCGTCGTTCTGCAGTGCTCAGTGAGCGGCCTTCAGGGAACCATCCTGTCCAATGGCGAGTCAATCCTCGCAGCTTCTAAAAGCAAACTCCTTGAGTGCGCAACCCCCGACTCCATCCTACGTCTCAAATATTCTCCGCTGGAGGATGCAGAGCAGATTCAGGAGCTGTACTTCGGGAAGCAGAAGCACAATGGGCTGGTTGACATTCTGAGGGGGGCGGTGAATCAAGAGTCATGTGAACTGTTCTTGGAGGTGAGGTGATTTATTTCAAGTTTGTTACAATGGGCTTGATTCTCAGAGGTGTCGGGCAACCAGAACACCAGCTGATTTCCATCCTAGCTGTTGGTGCGCAGCGCCCTGAAAATACAGCTTTAGACTAAGACTGCTAAAGATTATGATTTATCCTTTGTGTTGAGGTAGCACAGATACACCTCAGTCATGAGTGGAGTAGGGATGCTAAATTTCGATTAATCAGCTAATTGAGTAGTCGATGGAATTTCCATTGACTACTCAATTAGTCTATAAAGGGGGCACTCACTATCCCACTGCACCTCTCCCTTGGATATTTCAAAGGAAGAGAGGAAGTGAGTTGCCTCTGCCTCTGTGCCTTTGAAAAGCACAGGAATCGCCTGCAGCTCTTGTATGTTTCAAAGGGCATGAGGCAGCGGGAACCCGTGCTGGGGGTGGGGATGGGGAGCAAAGCAGTCCCCGCTCACACGGGTACCCCTCTGTGCCTCTTCCTTTGCAATGTACAAGAGCCGTGGGCAGCTCTTGTACATTGCAAAGGGAGAGGAGCAGCAGTGAGACCGGCATGAGCAGGACTGTTTCAGTCCCTGCTCACACCATTTCCTCATGGCCCCCTGCCTCCCCTGACCCACACAGAGATGGTGCTTGGGGAGCAGGGAACGGGCTTTTAAGCTGGCTCCCCCCAACACCGGCTTGTGCTCCCCCCACCTTGCTGCCTATCTCTGATAGAGGTAGCGGGGGGAGGGGGCAGCATTTGCTTATCAGGTAGTCGAGTAGTTACTTAAATCCCTAGTCTGGAGCCCCATTATTCTAGGCAGTGTACAAATGGATTGGGGTGAAACTCATCCATAGTCCTGGCCTCCCTTTCCAGGAGCAAACTTTTTAATCGTGTGGGGAGGGTTGGAGGAACCCAGGCTTGCCCACTATTCTGGATTCCAGCCCAGAGATTCTTGGTAGCGGCATCTGACGAGGCTTTTCCTCTAGCTCCAGTACAGCAGCTTTTTCTCTGGGCCACTTTCCCAAACGCGCACTTAGTACCTTCTCCCTGGTACCTGACTGACTCTTTCCGGTCTCATTTTCCCAGCACCACATTTCCCTCTCAGTCCTTCTCTTCTCCTTCCCCCTCCCTTACATGAGGGGAAACCTTTTCAAGTAGTGCAGCAGGCTTTCATTGGCTGCAGGTGCCTGATTAGCCTGCTGCCTCAGGCAAGCTCTTAATTAGCCTTAGGTGCCTGCTTGCCTTGATTACATGGGAGCAGTCTCTGGCAGTTCTCTCGGGAAACAGAAAACCATTCACCCAGCTCCCGGCATGTCTGCCTGCCCCCAAACCATTATATCCAGTTGCCCTGGGTCTGTCACAATAGGTAGGTTTTTGCTAAGTGCCTATATGCTGAGCAGCATGTGCATCTTACCCAGCTATCCCAACCTGCCCCCTCCAGCCTTTTTCATTGGCCCACAGCCTGTTGAAGTCTGCGAGAGTCATTATTATTGTGGCCATTGCAAGGAAACTCTTCTGATCCACGAATGTTTGGTGTTGCAGCCCCAAAGAGTGGTCTTATCACAATCCAGATGGCAAGACTCTGGAGGGGGCGTGTTTCACAACAGGGCTCCCTCTTCTCCCAATCTGTGCTTACTCCAGTGCCCCAGTTGAGGGAGCTAGCGGGTGCTGTGCTGTAGGGAGTGGGCTGGGGGCCCTATAGGGCACATTCTGCCCTCTCAGGCAGTGCTGAGTCCAATGCCCCAGAGCAGTGCTAGGAAGTGCTGTGCTGAGGAAAATGGGGTGGTTTGTGGCTTTGTTTCTTCAACAAAAAGTCAACGTTTCCCACGAGAGGGAGTAAAAAACATTTTTATATCAGTCCTATTGGGCAGCCATTCAAACGTCCTGTCAAGGAATTAGAGGTGTTGCAGTTTCCCTATATCTTCACAGTACAGATTGAACGTCTCTAGTCCAGCACCCTTGGCACCTGATGGGTTCCGAATGAGAGAATTTTCTGGACCATGGGAGGTCGATATTATCTAGCAGCATCACCAACACTTGCACAGCTTACTGGTCTGTTAGAGGACATCGAGGGGTAAATTAGAGTATGTCTACACTACAGCACTAATTCGAACTAACTTAGTTCGAATTAGTTAATTCGAACTAAGCTAATTCGAATTAGCGCAGCTAGACTTAAAAACTAGTTCGAATTAGCGTTTTGCTAATTTGAACTAGCATGTCCACACTGAGTGGACCCTGAACCGGGGTTAAGGATGGCCGGAAGCAGTGCCGGCAGGGCATCAGAATGGGACTTAGAGCGTGGAGCTGCTGTCTCAGGCTAGCCGAGGGCTGTGCTTAAAGGGTCCCAACCCCCACCCCGGACAGACAGTTCTCAGGGGTTCCCCGCTTGCAAAGCAGTCCTGGCTTGGAGTGCCCTGAGTGCCCACACTCGGCACATCACAGCACTTGGCCATCAGCCTGGCTGCACTTGCCGCAGTCTGCCATCCGGGGGGATCAATCGAGGGGCTGCAGGAGAGCTTCCACCCCGAGGAGCCCGCAGAGCCACCCCAGTCCTCCCCATCGGGGGCTCGTACCCCATTCCTCCCTCACCTCCTTCCACTTACCCCTCCCTAGCCCCCCTTCCTGATGTACAAAATAAAGGACACGTGTGTTCAAAAATAGAAACTCTCTTTATTGAACAAAACTTGGGGACACTGGGAAAAGGAGGTGGGAGAGGGGAGGAGAGAGGGCGGGAGAGGGGAGGGCAACTAAAATGATCAGGGGTTTGGAACAGTTCCCATATGAAGAGAGGCTAAAGAGACTGGGACTTTTCAGCTTAGAAAAGAGGAGACTGAGGGGGGATATGATAGAGGTCTCTAAAAGCATGAGTGGTGTGGAGAGGGTGCATAAAGAAAAGTTCTTCATTAGTTCCCACAATAGAAGGACTAGAGGACACAAAATGAAATTAATGGGTAGCAGGTTTCAAACTAATAACAGAAAGTTCTTCTTCACAAAGCAAATAATCAACCTGTGGAACTCCTTGCTGCAGGAGACTGTGAAGGCTAGAACTGTAACAGAGTTTAAAGAGAAGTTAGATAAATTCATGGAGG